GTCCTGCCAGAAATGCCCTTTCCCCAACCTCTTCTCAAAATTCCTCTAAAATGTTAAGATCTAACCCAAGCCGGGTTCGGTGGCTCAGCCTGTAATCCCGTGCCTTTGGGAAGCTGAGGTGAGTGAATTGCCTGAGTCCGGGGATTCGAGACCCACCTGGGCAACTTGGCAAGACCTCATCTCTACAATAAATCAAAAAAAATTAGCCGGGTGTGGTAGCGTGCGCCTGTAGTTCCAGCTACTTGGAAGGCTGAGGCGGAAGGATTGCTGGAGCCCAGCAGGTCGAGGCTGCGGTGGCCGGGAGCGGCCACTGCACTCCAGTCTGGGCGACAGAGTGAGACTCCAACTCAAAAAAAAAAGATCTAACCCAAATGCCACCTCCTTCTTGGCCCTTCCTAATCCATAGGACGAGGACAATCTTTCCTTCCTCTGATTCACCAACCCTTTGTGCCCCTATGGCCAGCACTGACATTACACTGCAGCAGGAATTTAGGTCCTCATGCCCTATGGACTCCCTGAGCATACTGGTCTTCTGAAATGGATTAGTGCAGATGCTATGTTCTGCAGAAACCGGGAAGAAGAGAGTGTGTGTGTGTTGGAGGAGGGGTGAGCAAAAAGGTCCACCCACTGAATGCTCCAGAAGGCAGCCAAGTACAGCAGTTAAGAGCATAGGATCTAGCCGGGCATGGTAGTGCGTACTTGTAGTTTCAGCTACTTGGAAGGCTGAGGCAGAAGGATCGCCAGAGCCCAGCAGGTCGATGCTGGGGTGGCGATGAGCGTGCCACTGCACTCCTGCCTGGGCGATGGAGTGAGACTCTAACTCAAAAAAAAGAAAATTTTAAAAAGAGTACAGGATCTGGCCCCTGACTGCTTGGGTTCAAATACAGCTTTCCCTCTTACTAGCTAAGTGACTTTGGGCACATTACTTAACTTCTCTGGGCCTCTGCTGCAACACCTGAAAAAGGGAGATAATTAAAGCACCATGGTGTTGTTGTGAGGACTGAGAGACCACATGCAAAAGCACTGAGAATAGTGCATGGTACACAGTCAGTGCTAAACAAGCATTTGATGCTATTATCATTAGCAAAGCCCCAAGAAGGAGATTCTCAGTGCTGGCAGAGGGCTGACCAAGACTGGCGTGGGCACAACCCCCAAACTGTAGTCACTTTCTTTCTTTCTTTTTTTTTTTTTTGAGTTGGAGTCTCACTCCATCGCCCAGACTGGAATGCAGTGGCTGCTCCTGGCCACTGCAGCCTCGACATGCTGGGCTCCGGCGATCCTTCTGCCTCAGCCTTCCAAGTAGCTGGAATTACAGGCGTGTGCTACCACGCCCGCCTGGTTTTTTTATTTATTGTAGAGATGAGGTCTCGCTGCCCAGGCGGGTCTCAAACCCGCGGGCTCAGGCAATCCACTCACCTCAGCTTCCCAAAGGCGCGGGATTATAGGCTGAGCCACCGAGCCCGGCTGTAGTCACTTTCAAGGTCTGTTTCCCATGTGCTGTTAGAAGGTAGGTAGGGCAGGTAATTAGCCCCATTTTACAGATGGGGAACTGAGGCTCACTCAGGTGAAGTGCCAGTGAGGAAGTGGTAGAGCCGCCAGAATTCCTCAGCTCTAGTCTAGGGCTCCTCTCCCTTCACGAGGTCATCATCGTGCACCTGTTATTCAGGCCTCACACAGCAGCCAGCCCCTTCCTTGTCTCCCATGCCAGAGCTAGTCCATAGTGTCCTTCTGTACCCCATGCATATACATCGTTCCAGTCAGGCTAGGTGCTGTACACAGTAGTGTGCAGGCTTGGAGTGCACACACGCACGCGCGCGCATGCACACACACACACACTCCTATAGAAAGGCTCAGGCCCCAAAGGTGAGGAAAACCTGTTCTGAGGAATCTGCCTACTGAGCGAATTCCGTTCTGAGGCCCTTCCGCAGTCCCAGGAGTGGGGCCCAGTGTGCGTCAGAGATACCAGCAAGGGGGGCAGAGAGAAGGAGAGGGTGAAAACGGGAGGAGGCTGAAAACTTCACGTTTCTTTTTTCCATTTTAGTGACAAGAGTCACACCCAGCCTTTACATAAACACAGCCAAGGAGGCACTCTGTCTAAGCTCACTTCCCTTGCAGCCGCCCAGCCTCTCCTCCGGGTGACCCTGACACGCAGGGCGGGCCAGTGAGGGGCAAGCTCACAGACCTACGAAAGACTAACTGGGCCACCCAACATCCATGCCTCCTGCCTGCTGCCCTTGATCTTGCCCCACATGTATCTCCCGCCTTCCTCTTCACACATTACCTCAGCAGCCCCACCGCCACCCAAACACACAGAAGGTAGGCATGCACACACAGCTTGCTTGCGGCTGGTCTCTTGGGTCTGAGGCCCACACTGCCCTTGTCACGCCACCTCCCTCTCCACATGTGTTTTCTGACCATCTCGTTTCCCAGTCCAGCAGCCTGAACAGGCGCCCACAAACAACGTCACAAAAGAATCCTATGAAGAATGTTACAAACACATAGCCATCCCCTTGCCTGGCTGCCCATGATCCCATAAACACAACTGGTACATCCCAGCCAGAACCCCACACACAAGTGCCAGTAAACCCACAGACACCCAAGACACACCCTGAGGTTTCTTGCTCCTTGTGTGATCTTTGGGATCTGAGTTCCAGACGTGCGGCCCCCATGCGACTCACTCACCACTAGCATGGAGACCTATCCATCGGCCTGTCCTCCATGACCGGACCACACCTCAGCAGGGCCATAGAAATGGGACCCAAACACAACGCCTTTTGACTCAAAGGTCCACAACCACCTCCTCCAAGTGGGCACATGCCCCCTGGATTCCGGTGCCCTCCACAACACATAGACATACACCATGCCAACTCTGCAGAAATCAACAGTTCGTAAATAGTTCATATGTGCAGCACAAGACGTACATGCAAGAAAACACACGCTGATAGAAAACATAAATATAGCCCCACACCAAACAAACTCCACACTCAGCATATCGTGCCCTGCTTAGAATGCCCATGTGTCACCCAAAGTCACAGGGCCACATCTTGTAATTCTGCCTCACAACACTGGACACCCTTCCTGGCTTTCTATCTCTATGGTCCAGGCCCTACCTAGACCCCTGGCTGCCAGACCAGCGAAAGGTGGTGCCCAGAATAGGTTTACCTTGCCCCACAACAGCACGAGACACACAATCTCCAAGACTCACAGTCACAACCCTGCCCAGATGGCGCGGCGGTTCCGGGGCCCAGCTCGACCTGCGCACCCCGCACACCCCAACTCTGGGGCGCTCCGCGGCCCACCCCTCCCCCTCTCTGCTTAGCTCCTACGCCATCGCCCTCCCAGCAGCTTGCAGCTCTTGCCAAGGCTCACACCCGCCCCACCCCACCCCCAACCTGCCCCACCGAGGGGGGGCACATTAGGCTGCAGAATTAACCCTCCAAAAGAGGAGTGAAGACGGCCCCTTCCACGGCCCCAGGCGATCGTGTCCCCCGGCCGCCGCCTGCTCGGACGCCATACCAGGGCCCCCTTAGTCGCCCCCAGCGTCGTGCGCGCCGGGGGCGGGGCTAGGCTCAGCCCGCGACCCCTGAGCCCCCAGGTCAACTCCAAAGGCTAGCGGTCGGGGCGCGGGGCGCGGCCGG